AGGCTAATGTACACTTAGTTGTGTTCAGCTTCAGGATTCAGATGCGAGAAAATAGTCTGGCTTCAGCTCATGAGAGAAGATGGTGATGAGGAAAATTTGATACAAATGAAAAGAAATAAGCTTTGTCTTTTTTTTTTTTTTTTGAGATAGGGTCTTGCTACACAGGCTGGCATTGAGCTCAATATGTAGCCCATGCTGGCCTCAAACTCCAACGAGGTCCTCCTGCCTCAGCCTCCCAATGCTGGGATTACAGGTGTGTACCAACATGCCTGGCTAAACTTCGTCTTTTTAATTTTTGTTTTGAATCATGAAATATTTTAAAAATTAGTGTATTTTTCATCAAAATGATGAAAGTTTAATTTTTAAAAGAAATTTTCCATGTCTGTAGTCAATTTATGAACATCTGTAATTTTTATAATAATTTTTAATGCTTACATCCACTAATTTTAACACCTTTGTCAGTTCTGGGTTAGTGTTAGTTGGGTGACTTTCCTCTCTCAGAATGGATTATTTCTAGCCAGGGAGATGGCTCAGTGGAATAAGCGTTTGCCTAGCAAGCTCAGGAGCCTGAGTTCAATCCCCGGTTCCACCCCCCAAAAAAAGAATGGATTATTTCTGCCTGTTTGCATGCTTGGTAATCTTGGACTGGATGTCACACATTGTGAATTCTAGCTTATGCGTGTGGAAAGTTTTTGTTCTTATAAATACTGATGTACTTTGCTTCAGGACATAAATTATCTGCAAACAGTTTGATCTTTTGGGTCTTGCCTTTAAAATTTATTAGGTACTACTTACTACAGTAGCCTTTATTCAAGGCTCACCCCCTCCCTCACTGCCCTATCCTGTGAGGTGTGAGCACTCCAGGCTGCCCAGGAGAAGACACCCTGCTCCAGCTGAGAGTGAGCACTAAAGGCTCTTCCCCCAGGTCTCTCAGCCCATTCTTCCCCGGGTGGGGGAAGTTTTCACTCCCCTCTCGTCAGTGCTCTTTAAGGAGATCTTATACACATCTCTAGAGTTCACTTAATTTTTAGGGAAGGGTCTACAGGGTGTTCAGGATCTCACTACTAGATTGGACTCATAGTGAGCCGCATGTTTATGACCTCCTAAGAGCTGGGATTACAAGAGTGTGCCACCATGCCCAGTCTGAATGGCCAGTCTGAATGGCCATCTCAGTGTGCCCCGGGGGTGGGGCCGGCACAGCAGGCCCGGGGATCGAACCCCAGGCCCCTGCATCTGCTTGCAGGGGCTTTAAGTCACTGAACTATTTGGCTGCCCTAGTGTTGTCTTTCTGCACTTCTCTCCTCTCTGGTACTCTCAGCTATAAACACTGCTACCCTGGTCTCCCGGATTCTGCCCTTAGCCTCCTTGGCTGAGGTGTCCACTGCGCTCTGCTGCAGTTTCCTGTGTGGGCCACGTGTCAGCAGTCCCCAACAGAGGACACTGGGGTGACTGATTGTAGGACTCATTTGTGTTTTTCACTCCTCAGAGACCACTGTCCTTTGTTGATAGGACCTTGAAAATGATTGTCTCATGTGTTTATCTATTTTTTGTTGCTGATTAATGCAAGAGGATAGATCTAGTCTAGCTCTACCTTGGGCTTGTCCTTTTTCCCCCTTTTTATGTAAAATTTTTTTCTTTTTAACATTTGCTCATCAATTCAAATATATGGAGCACCTTTACATGCAAGACACTATAAGTCAGTTGAGCCAGTGACTGCATTTGGAAACAGGATACATCTCAAGGCAACGCTTCCACCGCATTCTTAGTTAACAAGTCTCTTCTACTAGCAGGGTTTTATACTGATAGCACTTACTTTTGTCTCAGTGTTTCTAACACATCCCACATGCTTAGCCCCCATTCCCCACACACAGTGCCATCACTATGTACATTTATGTGCCTTGTACAGCCATTCCATCCTATTAAACATACTAGAGTTATGTCTCGGTTTAAAAGTTGTATATATCAAATTATTTTTCTCTTTTCAAAATATGCATTTTAACTGATTTTTTTTTCAATTGACAAGAGGTGTGACTGCCTCATTTTTTTAATGAATTCATGTCCATGTCCATTTGTTTTTGCCTGTTTTCCTTATTCCATATTTGTGTACCACCTACGCACAGTTTCTTGCTGTTTCCTTCCAGGTTATTATGTGCTCTGAGAGGGGAAAGCCATTCGCTGAGATGGCTCTTGAAGAGACTAGGGTATTCTTAGAGTTGCCTTCAGTTTCAGCTTAAGTTGTGGCCTTACATCATCCTTTCTCTACATCACCACGTCATCTCCCAAGCCTACCTCTTCCCTCAGCTTGCATGTACCCTTCCCCTTCACCATCAGCATGACTGATGAGAAATTCCCTTGGGCAGAGGTCTTTGAGGCAGCAGCCAAGCAATAAGTTGTGCTCAACAATTTTGGTTGGCAGTTGTAAATCTGCTTCTTGTTCCTACTCTGTATTTGTTAATTTTGTTTTTAAGTTTATTCGTTAGCAATGAGTAATTTTACAAATACAATGAGTAAACTTTCATTAAATACAATTTTGTTTTCTATTGGAAATACGCAATTATTTTCCTCTTTAATCTAGTGCACAGATTAGCAGAGCTTTCTAGTGGACCCCATCATTTTTATATTCTGAAGGGGTGGCGTCATTGGTCATGGTGTATTATTTTCTTAAAATGCTCTTGGATCCCACAGGTGAGCATTTTATTTAGGATTTAAACAATTTTTCGCACTAAAGTAGGATTGGATTATAGCTTTTTGTCCTTGTGCTATTCTTACTTTTTTTGGGGTACTGTGTTGTACTAGAGTAATAAAATTAGATACTGTTTTATTCAAAATTTCTTCTTTCTAGAACTTGGTTAGAACTTTGCCTATGTTCAGTGACTCCTGTTTCAATCTATCTATGGTATATTTTATAATTTTGAGCCTTTTCCTCCCAACTTTTTATTAGAGAATTTCTCAGAATGCATTTTTGGGAAATGATATAGAGGATAAAGAATTGGTATGGAGCTAAATCCTTCTCACTTTTGGATTTCCATAATTAACGCAGGGACAAATAAGATGACTATGTGCCACAGCATTATGCTTGTAAGACACAATGTAAGTCACAACGAGATGAGGCTTAATGATAAAGGAAAATAAGAGGAAAAAAGTAAAGTTAACTTCTCCTTACAAAGTCAATAATAGGCTGATGTTTATAATTTGTAAAAACTCAAAATTTTAATTTGAATTTTTTCAGAGACAAGACATTTTTATGTCTCATCACTACATGATCTCTTAATTTGTAAGATAAAAACAGGAAGAATAAATAGAAAAAATCCACTGCCTTGGCAGCCTTCCCTTTTCCTTACAGTTATGCATTTGAAGAAATTAAGACTTCTCCCATATATCACAGGTAGGAGGCATGCATCTGGGAATGTGCCTCAGAAGACACACTCTACAGAAAGAGAGCAACCAGTGGATTCTGTTTCTGTCACTTGTATAAGACATTCAATCAAGGTTGGAATTTACTGAATGAGGACCCAGACTGAGACAAAATACCTTAATTCTCCAAGAAAAAAATATTGCATTCATTATACAAGCATCCAAATTAAATTTAACACACTAAAATTCCTTCAATTAGCTATACACTGATATAATTATTAGCAGGGAAATAAAATCTATTTAGGGGAATTATAAGCATTATAGAAATGCCTCTTTCATGTCTTTCTGAACTCTTCAGTTTTTCTTCTTTTTGGTAGCTTTATAATTATTTGAAAAAAGAAGGGACTTTTTCATTAGTATCTAACAGATTTGCAGTACTTAAGATTAAGTAAATTCAACATGGAAAGTTGGCACAGGTACACAACACATCTTACCCCATCCCCTGATCATCTGGTTCCCTTCTGGAGGGAATGCTTTTCAAAGGCCTGCATGCTTAATATTTTTTTGGTAATTCCTTAGATTCTCATTTTTTTCTAACAGATGACCACTAATCATGCATTATCTATAGCATTAAAATACTTATTATATAACATACTTAAAAATTCATTTTTTTAAATTATTTTTTTTTGGCGGTACTGGGGATCAAACTCGGGTCCTCGTGCTTGCCAGGCAGGTGCTTATACCACTGCATCATCTCTCCAGCCCTAAAAATCCATTTTAATCTAGAATACAGTGTTTACTCACATGAAATAACTAGTTAGTGGAGTTTGCCTTTAAAAGTATGTCTTTATCAACAAAACAAAACTCCCCCAGCATGAAGGTGGGGTGGGAGAGGCAAAGGGGCTGTGCCACAGTGAGCAGGACACTGAGCTCCGGAGAGTCACGCCCTCCTCCTACGGGAGGGAAACCTCCACTTTTAAGCATCTTCAGTACATGATCAGCCCGAATCACTCCTCCGCCTGAAATCACCCATGTAGCAGTCCTGACCACCCTCAGCATCTGCTCTGTTTCTGTTTCTTACATCATTGTACACTGACCATCCAGGCTTACCGGGATACAGTCTTAGAATATGCCATATTTCATTATGACGCCATGTTTCAGGAGCGGTTATTCCCTCTCCTTGGAATTTCTTTAGTCTTCCTAGAGCTACATGCTATCTTATATCTTCTATTTCTAATTTGTTTATAGTCATCATAGACACATAGATTATATTTAGGGTAAAAACAGAGCTGTGACAATAAGAATACAAAGTAATTTTTTCTATTGTTAAGATTTGATTACATTTGGGTTGGCAGTGAAGAAATAATCATTAGGGAAATCTCTCATTGTTGGTTCAGCAACAGGCTAGAAAAACAATCAGTCCTAATCCCATGAAATACATGATTTAAGTCAGGGGTGGTGAACCTATGGCATGCATGCACTGGGATGTTTGTATCACTGAAAGTTCTAAAAGGCTCACCATCACTTATTTAAGTCATCCTTATGGAGGAAAACAGGACTATATTAAAACAGGCACAGAACAATTCAGTCACAATTATGATTATAGGTTTTGTATAATGAGAACTTTTCTTAGTTACAGAACTCACCTCTTGAAATGATTCACCAGGACTCCAACAAGTTCTCCAATTCGACTCTCATGGGTTGGCTGCTTGCTGAAGAGGCAGACAATAAGGTCTTTGTTGTCTTTTGTATGGAACACAACAAGCTGGTCCTTTCCATTGGAGACACTCAGACCAGTCAACTGCAAGGAGACAGCATATGGAAAACTATTATGATGATTCTTGAGAGAACAAGTTTTAAAAATAAATTCTGTAATGGTTTTGCTTCATACTGCAGATAAGAGCAAAAGTAATACAATTTGAAACATAAAACAGGAGAAAATCAATTAAAACAAAAAGATGGATCTTTCAAAAGACTAAAAAGAGCCGGCCAGGGGCCAGAGAGATGGCTCAGTAGAATAAGCGCTTCCCTGGCAAGCATAAGAAGGGCCTGAGTTCAATCCCTGGTTCCGCAAAAAAAAAAAAGAGCCGGCAAAATAGCTCAGCAGATTAAAGTGCCTGAAAGCAGGCACAGGGGCTGGGGGTTCAATTCCCTAGCCTGCTGTGCCGGCCCCGCCCCTGGGGTATGCTGAAATGGCAGTTGAGAATGTGCGTGGTGGCGAGTGCCTGTGATCCCAGCTCTTGGGAGGCTGTAAACAGGCAGATCACTACTAGTCTGATCTCATAGTGAGACCCTGAACACCCTATAGACCCTTCCCTAAAATACAAAAAAACAAAAACAACAACAACAACAACAAAAAACCTGATAGACCTCTATCCACAGAGGAAAAACTTATATAGGAAATATCTTTACCAGTATCAGAAATAGAAGAGGGACTATCACTATGACCACATAGATATTAATAGGTAATAAAGGACTATTTTAAACATATACAACAACTTATTTAATAACTTACAAATGAAATAATTCCTTGAAAGTTCAAATTACTGTAACTCACCCAGAATAGATAACCTCAATAGTCCTATTCTGTTGAAGGAATTAAATATGTAGTTAAAAACCTTCGGAAAAAGAAAACTCCAAAGGGGAGTTTGGGGAGATAGCTTGGTGGTACCAGCGCCTGCCTGGCAAGTGCAAGAACCTGAGTTCGATCCCTGGTACTGCATGCTGGGCACACCGTACTGGCCACCAAAACTGGGCGTGGTAGTGCATGCCTGTAATCTTAGTGCTGGGGAGGCTGAAACAGGAGGATCACTATGAGTCTGAGCTGTGTAGTGAGACCCTGCACAAAATACAAAAAACAAAACAAAACAAAAAGACCCTCAGGCCACCACCATAACAGAATAACAATACCAAATGTTGGTGAGAATGCAGGGCAACTGGAACTCATATACAATATTGGTAGGACATAAAATGGCAGCCAACGAGGAACTTATGTGCACACAAAAACTTAAACATGGCTTATGGTAGTTGTTTACAAATGGCCCAAACTGGAAGCACTTGAATATCCATCAATAGGTTAATGGATCAGTAAACGTGTTACATCTATAAAGTGGAATATTACTTAACAATGAAAGACACAAACTAATGATACAAATGATTGATGCAGATAACATGTGTAAATCTGAAAGGCATTATGTTGAGGGAAAGTAGCCAAGTATAGATTTCACTGTATAAAACAAAATTATAAGGATGGACACTTGATTGATAGTTTTCAGGGTACGGGTTGGTTTTTTTTTTTTGCCCCGCATGCCTTCAGGGCAGTTTGGCTGGCTTGAGTTGTGGGGATCGAACCACAGCAACCTGAGCCTGACTGCTTTGTTGAAGCAGCCACTTAAAGAACTGAGCTAAGGGGCAGGCCCTCCAGCGTACAGGTTGGAGTAGTCTGATACAGAGGAACATTTTAGGGCGATGAAACTGTCCTGAGGGCTGGTGAGATGGCTCAGTGGTCTAAAGCACCTACTTAGAACAAACTTAGCAAAGCATAGGGACCGCGGTTCAATCCCCCAGCACCACATGCCAGCCAGCCCCGCCCCCTGGTGGGCTGAGCTGGCCACACACACACACACACACACACACACACAAATAAATAAAATTAAAAAAAAAAAAAAAAAAAAAAAAAACTGTCCTGATTGTGGCAGCAGTTTATGAATCTGGGAATCGGGTAAGACTTACAGACTTGAATACCACCATTATGCATAAAATAAATTTATTACATATAAACTTAAAAATGTGTGACTCTCTAATTTTGATCCTAAAACCTACTCTAGTCAGTGAAAAAGAAGCTGGAGTGAATGTTCATCTTGTGTTTGTTCTACTGTAGAAAACACTGAAGTGTTGCCTCTGGGCTGGCACAAGTGGCATCAATGAGGCAGGCAATAAGTGTGGACAGGGCAATGCCTCGCGCACAGTGCCAGTACCTGGGGTGGGGATGGGCCTGTAACACGCTGAAAATATGGGCCCTATTCTTGGGGAGCTCATATCCAGTAGATTAGTAAGAGAGATGAACATCAGATCACCACAGAACACTTTAACAATTACGGTGGGAAGGCCATTTACTTCCATGCCCGCACTGTCTAGAAATGGAAACTGAGGCCCATGGAAGTTAGCTGGTTTGCAGATCTGGAACCAGAAATCAGGTGGAATGTTGCAGACCTATTTTTTTTTTTTAATAGCCTGTTAAATGAAATAAACTGCATTGATAAGTATTCCTACGACTAGAGCTTCATAGGAGGTGAATTCTTAGGCTGAATGAGGGATTTGATATTTATTTATTTTATTTATTTATTTATTTTGGTGTGTGTGTGGCCAGCTCAGCCCACCAGGGGGCGGGGCTGGCTGGCATGTGGTGCTGGGGGATTGAATCGCGGTCCATGTGCTTTGCTAAGCTTCTTCTAAGTAGGTGCTTTAGACCACTGAGCCATCTCACCAGCCCCCATGAATGAGGAATTTTAAAGAAGACCATATCAGTACTTTATGGAGAGAGAAGGGAAAACACAATATTCAAGGAATTGGAAATCATTCACTGGCTTATGCAAATCACGGGATTTCTGGGGCCACTGGTAAGACAATACAGCAATTTCTCTGCCACTTAGATGTATTGTAGCCAGATAACTTTTATGTGATTAAATTAAAAATACCATTTTCATTTTAGAAAACATTTTATGCTTCACTCTCATTTGATTATTTTATATGTGAAATCCAGAATTGAATTTATGTAACACTTCATGGGAGAGCTTGATTAAAACCTAATAAAAGCAGAATGATGGCTGTGGTAAGTGCCAGCACATCCCAAGGGTGTTAGCTGCTGGGTTTGGGGAGAGGAGCCAGATGCAGCATGAGCGCTGGCACCTCGGGGTCAGGGGACCCTTGCACAAATGGCTCAGCCATGACCCAACCGGGATGTGGGACTCTTTTCTTCCTCCTTTGCCCTACCCTTCCTGTCAGGGTGGCTTCCTTTGCTGTGGGCAGGAATTAAATCTTTCACATGTCTGCTCAGGCCTTAGGTGTGTTACATCCAGAGGAAAAGAGGGAGAGGGGAACTGAACTTGGTGCTTCACATACAATGAGAATTGGTCTCCACTGTCCTAAGGCAGGACGAACAGCACCCAGGAAGTCTCCAGGATGGCGAGTGGGAAGAGGAGTGCCCCGAGCAGTGACCTGTGTGTTCGTGCGTCCCAGTTCCGCCATAAGACTGTAAGCAAACCACTTAATTCCTTAAGTTCTCTGTCATTCTCCTATGTATTTCTGCAAAATAAAGATGAGAGCAGGTGCCTAGTCTACCTCACAGTGTTGTGGTGAAGATCAAATGGTAGCAACTCAGGTTGCTAAAATAAAATAAAACATGCAAAGACCCCCCCCTTCCATCTTCAAGGCTTTTAACTCTACATAGAGAAATATGACAGGGAAACTTAAGATTGAAAATACAATTAAAAGTGCCGCGCAGATGCAAGGCAAAGTGTGGAAATGTCTGCTAGGAAAGGGGTCATTGCTCCCTCAGTTGTCTCAGCCACACTGCACAGAGCTTCTCTAAACAAAAGGGAAATTCCTTCTCAAGCCTGTCGTCCCCCCTCGCTGCCTCCTTATTTCTTAGTCTCTCAGGCGGCAGCGTCTCTCTGCCATGGTCCACCACACCTCCCCTTCTTTGGTCTTGAGGATCTATGTAGTGTGGAGCAATCTCAAGTCTCCCAGAATCTCCTCGGTGTGAAGGACCAGGTCCTGGACACAGCAGATGCCGTGGGAAACTGGGCAGCTGCCTTCCTTGGGCAGACCATGGGGGAGGACGAGCATTACAGCCGGAGAAAGCCTGGAAATAGGTATGGACCGCGGGCCAAGAGGAAGAAACAATTCGGAAGATAATCATGACAGATTATTCCAGAAGCAGGAACAGGAATCAGCCAGAAAGATTTGAGTCTTTACATGGAAAGTCAGTGGGCCCAGAATAAGACGGAGTTGAAGTTCAGTTTCAACTTTGTAGAGCAGAAGAGGGAAAAACTGTTAAGAACACAGGCAAAATAAATGATATTTACATAAGAAAATAGAATTCAGGTTTAATTCCTTTAAAAAAAGTTCTTTCATGTGTTTGAAGGACATGGCAAGAGGAGAAGAAGAAAACAAGTTATTACAGGAGATAAGTAAATTTCACCCTCGGTATTGACAAAAATCAGTTTATTTAACAGAATCATTCTTAAAAGTAAAGAGTATATAATCTTTTTCTTTATTTAGTTTTGGTACTGTGAATTGAACCCAGGGCCTTCAATCTGTGTTATATTCCTAGCCCCGTCTCCTTTTTTGAGACAAGATCTTGCTATGTCCCTAAAGTGCCCAGGCTGGGTTTAAATGTGCAATCCTCCCGCCTCAGCCTTCCAGACTGCTGTGTTATGAGCATGCACCACCACCACAGGCTGTGTAACCCTCTAAACATTAGTAAAAACAGAACAAAAATTTGATCAATATAGAGCAGTATGACAGAAATCATTTAAGTAAGATGATTAAACTTAAAAAAAAAGTAACTGATAAGAGATGGGAGTGCAACTCAACTTCTTAATTGGATGGGAAAGTGCAAAATTAAGGTAAAGAAAAAATTAACTGCATAAAGGATATATCTGACACAAAAAGATGGTTTCTTGCTGCAGCAATGTGAATGGGAGCGCCAGGAGCTTGGGCTTGGAGCGAGATGCTTTGGATTGTTTTGAGAAAATGGCAGACAAACCAGACAAGGGGGAAGTCACCAGCTTCCATAAG